GTATATCTTGGAATGCTTTATTATTCTAAAATGAAGTGCATGGAAAATAGAATCTATCTACACACATAATTCCCTGAAAACCAATACAATGCCCTACTTGTAATATAGGGAGTAGTAAAGGAAGAGTGGTATATAAAATTATTATATAATATCACATAATATATATTACTACTGTATATTACATAATGTGTATTTAAAGACTGGGATATGACTCCGCTAGAAGACATAATGAAATGGTCTTACACTTAATGATAGTGACAGCTACATGTGTGTTGATTGGTGGCTCAGAAGCCACCAATGTTCATCATTTCCTAAATGATGAACATTCTTCACGAAGTTCTAAACAAAACAATGTGAAATAGTTTCTCAATTTATATGGCTGTTGAATTTCTGGAAAAATCAGTATTTATTAATATCCATGATGAGACCCTCTTAACCTCTCTGACCTTATCTCCCACCACTCTCCCTCCTTGCTCACTCTGTCCACTCATGCTGGCCTCCTTATTATTATTTGAACACCTTAGGGACACTTACACCTTGGGGGTTTTGTGTACTTGAAATGCTGTTTCCTCAAATATCCACAAGGCTCAGGCCATCACTTCCTTCAGGCCTCTACTCAGCTGTCACTTTCTGAGAGAGCCCCTCTGACCATCCCGTTTAAAATCGCAGCTGTCTCCTATCATGCCCCTGCTCTATCTCTTCCGTGGCATTCTACACCTTCTTCACAGTGTAGCATTAACTGCTTAGTATGTTTGCTGTTAATTGTCTGACTCTCCCACTCAATTGTAAGCTCCAGAAGGGCAGGGATTTTTGTCTTTTGTGTTCTCTGATATAAACCTATTACCTAAAATAGTGCTTGACACCTGGTAGACTTTCTCTCATTGAATGTTTGTTGAATGAATAAAAGAATAAATGAACAGGTTTTTCACCTACATGACTGTCTGGTGAGATACTCTAAAGGGGTATGGGATGTGGTATGATTCTTCGTGGTGTGAAGCTATCCTTTACACTGCAGAGGGCTGAGCATCCCTGGTCTATAGCCAGGGTTGTCACTGATGATCTCCAGTTATTGTCACAGTCAAAAATGTACCCCAAACAGGGCCAAGTGTGATGGCTCACGCCTGTAATGCCAGCACTTCAGGAGGCCTAGGCAGGTAGATCGCTTGAGTCCAGGAGTTCGAGACCAGCCTGGGCAACATTGTGAAACCCTGTCTCTACAAAAAATACAAAAATTAGCTGGGTGTTGTGGCACACACCTGTGGTCCCAGCTACTTGGGCAGTTGAGATGGGAGGACTCCTTGAGCCTGGGAGGAGGAGGTTGCAGTGAGTTGAGATCGCATCACTTCTGTCCAGCCTGGGTGACAGCCAGACCCTGTCTTAAAAAAAAAAAAAAAATGGGTCAGGCATTGTAGCTCATACGTGTAATCCCAACACTTTGGGAGGCCAAGGCGGGTGGATCACCTGAGGTCAAGAGTTAAAGACCAGCCTGGCCAACATGGTAAAACCCCATCTCTACTAATAATACAAAAATTAGCCAGACTTGGTGGCGTGTGCCTATAGTCCCAGCTACTTGGGAGGCTGAGGTAGGAGAATCACTTGAACCCGGGAAGCACAGGTTGCAGTGAGCTGAGATCGTGCCATTGCACTCTAGCCTGGGCAACAAGAGTGAAACTTCATCTCAAAAAAAGAAAAGGAAGAAAAAATGCCCCCGAAACACCCTTTAATTGTCCAGCCCCCACCTGTCACTGAGGACCACTGCTTAAATAGCAGTCTGGCTTTTGCCTGAACATTCTGTCCTCCCGGCAGCCCTCTCATACCCCTCTTACTGGGAGACTGGGTGGTGAGGGTGAGAGAGTGTGTGCTTGCTCCTAGTTACCCTTTCCAGACATTCTCCCTCCTCAAACAACCCTTTTTTCATTTTTTTAAGAACTGGTTTTTTGGTTTTGTTTTGTTTTTTTGAGATGGAGTCTCACTCTGTTGCCCAGGCTAGAGTGCAGTGGCATGATTTTGGCTCACTGCAACCTCTGCCCCCCAGGTTCAAGTGATTATCCTGCCTCAGCCTCCCAAATAGCTGGGACTACAGGCACATACCACCATGCCCAGCTAATTTTTGTATTTTTAGTAGAGACGGGGTCTCACCATGTTGGCCAGGCTGGTCTTGAATGCCTAACCTCGAGCGATCCACCTGCCTCACTCTCCCAGATTGCTGGGATTACAGGTGTGAGCCACCGGGCCTGGCCAAGAATTTTTGAACATAAAATAATTTCAGACTTTTAAAAAGCTGCAAAAATTTACAAGAATTCTCATATATTCTTCACTTAGATTTCCCAAATGTTAAGAAATTATATAATTACAGGCTGGGTGCAGTGGCTCACACCTGTAATCCCAGCACTTTGGGAGGTCGAGGGGGTGGATCACCTGAGGTCAGGAGTTCAAGACCAGCCTGGCTAACATAGTGAAACCGCATCTCTACTAAAAATACAAAAATTAGCTGGATGTAGTGCCACACACCTATAATCCCAGCCACTTGGGAAGCTGAGGCAGGAGAATTGCTTGAACCCAGGAGGAAGAGGTTGCAATGAGCTGAGATCACACTGCTGCACTCTAGTCTGGGTGACATAGTGAGACTCTATGTCAAA